GACCAATGCAGAGCAACGCGAATCAAAGCAACAAGCCAAGCCACGCCAATTCGTGCAAATCAATGCCAAGCCATGCGACGCAGTGCGAAACAACGCAGAGCGCGCGGCGACAAGGCGATGACGGCGGCCACGTGGCGGCCAGAGCGGCGCGCAGGCCTGGCGACGGGCGGCGACGAGGCGTTGACGGCGGCCACATGGCGGCCAGAACGGCCTGCGGGCCCAGTTCCTTAGACGACAAATCCGCCACCGCGCCTGCAGCGCGTGTTGGAATGTGCCAAGGCCCATGCAGCCTCGCAGCCCTCAGAGGTAGATGGGCCGAAAGGTTCCAAAGAGCTCGGGCTCCAGCTGGCCCCGAGAGAGCCCAAGAGGCCCCCAAGACAGGCAAAGAGAACACACACACACACACACACTTCAAAGCGAGGCTCCAGAGGAGAAACACGCACGGGCATGTCGAGCGTACGGCCCCAAGACGCACCAAAGTCGCTCCCAGAGCCCCCCACAGCAGCCAGAAGAGGCCCTAAGAGGCCCCCAGGAAGCTCCACGAGGTATCAGAAAGGCTCCCAATAAGCCCCCAGCGGCCTCAAAACTGCTCCCCAAAAGCCCCCGAGAGCCTTCCGAAATTACCGCAAGAAGCGTACATGAACATTCTAGACCCTTCGCGTAACCCCGCGAGCCCATCCAGCAACGATGCCCTGGGGCGAGGCGCCCAGGGGACCTCTTGGAGCGTACTGGGTGCCCCCCGGGGCCCTCTTAGGGCTTCTTGGTGGTCTCTTGGAGGCCCCTTGGAGGCCCCTTGGGGCCGTACGGGCGCCTCTTGGAGCCGTCTTGCGGTGCGCTCGTGGGGCCATCTTGGAGGACATCGGCCAAAAAAAGAGGGGAGCTACACTGCCCCTCGGGAGCATCTAAAGTCGCCTATTGGGGCGCTCTTGGGGCGCGCGTTGAGCGCCCTTGGGGCCGTATTAGGGCTCTCGTGGGCCCCTCTTGGGGCCCACTTGGGCCACCTCGGGGCCAGCTTGAGGCCTCGGAAGGCCATCAGTAGCGAAAAGTCGAGAAAGCAAAAATAATTAGTTTGTTCCATACGTTGTTGACAGATGTTGGCCTCTTGGGGGCCTCCTTGGAGAACTCGCGGGCCACTTGGAGCCGTCGTGGGGCAGTCTTGGAACCTCTCGGAGCATCTTGGAAGCCGTCTTGAGCCATTTAATGTTATCTTGAGCCATCAGGCGCTCTTGGAGCCCTTGAGCCATCTTGGACGCCCCAATCCTTCGCGAACCCCCCTTCCAGGTCCGGGGGAGGGGGCAAAGGGAAGGGTCAAGCTACCCACCCGCCCGCAAGCCGTCTAGCTCACTCCATACCGCCCTCCCAGCACAGAAGTAACACCCAAACCTGAGCATGTTCAGTGGCCGTCTTTGGATGGGCAGCTACTGGGAACCAAAGCCGCCCCCACGCGACGATTGGGCGAGGTGCGCCACGCGTGCCAGGGACACCACGCGCGCCAGGCACCCCTGGGGTCCGAGCGTGCCAAGCACGCCTAGTGCGCCAGATGCGCCACATGCTCCGAGTGCGCCAGGTGTGCCGCACACTCCAGCCGCGCCAGGTGCGCCGCGTTCGGGGCACGTGCAGAGTGCGTCAGGTGCGCCTGCGCACGTGACAGCACACATCGGGAAACATGTCGGCCCACACCATCCTTGTCGAACACCAATGCCCATCATTGTGCCTGGTGGGCCTGCGCACAGCAGGCCACGTGCCACCACCCCCGCCGTCCCTGTCAAAAACCACTTGACAGTGATCGCGGGGTGGCCGCGCATGATCCAGATTTAGCCGCGAGGTGCATGTAGCCCTGCGCACAGCAGGGAATATGCTGACACACCCGCTGAGCCTGTAACAAGAAATACAAAGTGCTCGCGGGCCACACGAACATGGCTCTAGACTTTGCCCCAAAGTGTACTTCGTATTGTTTTTGACAGGGATGGCGGGGGGGCGCATCGGGTTGGCCGCGTATGCTCCAAATTTGGGGGCAGAGTGCACTTGTATTGTTTGTTGAAGCGATGGCAGGGGGGTGGTTCGCATGTTGAACAGAAACCGATCGTCCCAGCATTACTATAGGCCTACCACCACATTTTCTACAATTCAAACATGTTCGAACAACAAAAACGTTATTATAACATAAACCCGACGTGTTAAAACAAGGCAATCCCACCCAGAAATGTTCAAATAACATTTCGTGCAGACCACAAACGGTTCTGATAACATTATGTGAAAGGCGTAAAGGCGAGCCAGGGCGCTTCGCCAGTGCTTGAGCATGGGGTCGGCATGGTTCCGAGTTGGCCGCCAGCCGGGTGGGAGAGGGGGTGCCTATTAATAGGGAGCTATGATAAACCCCTCCCCGAAAAAGAAGAAAGGGGTTGGAAGAGAAGTCGTCTTAGACCTCCGACGCCCCAAACGCCTGTAGGGACTCTCTCCAAGGCAACAAAGTGTCCCGAACACAAAACCTCGAACCTGCCCGCACTTCCTGCTGGCCAGAACCAATGCTGGGCCACCTCGGGCTCCCAGCCGGCTCCAACTCTATGCATGCCCCTCCTGCAGCTGCGCTCGGCTGTGCTGGACCATAGAGTTGAAGTGTGAACAGCTTGGGATGTTGCACGAGAGGGAGGATGTAGAGGAAAATGCGGAGGAGGAGGAGGAGGAGGAGCAAATCTCTGCCTCTCCCTCCTGCAGCTCCGCTCGCACCGTGGACGCTCATCCTCGCTGCGACCCGCCGCGCCCCGCCCAGGCGCCCGCTGCGAGGGGTTCGGAGGAGGCGAGCACCCACCCGCCACCCACCTCCTCCTCCTCCTCATTATCATCTTCCTCCTCCTCCATTCCCTTTCCTTATAAACAATTTCTCCCTGTCGCACCCCGAAGCCAGTTTCTACGGCGGGCCGGGCGTTTCGCCTGAGACCACCTCACGACTTATAACATTTGGAACCTAAAAATTGGCAACAGCTTCGCAGATGGAGGGCGGGTGGTTTTCAAAATGTGGCTCTCGCCGCAGCGCCGCGCACATTCGGATGTCAAAATTTGCAAGAGTTTCACGGATTGAGGGCGGGTGGTTTTCAAAATGTGGCTCTCGCCTCAGCAACGCGCACGTTCGTTTTAAACATTGCAAGAGTTTGGCAAGCGGTTTTCAAACTGTGGATTTCGTCTTACCGCGGCGTACACTCGCTTTACCCATTTGCACAAGCTTCACGGATTGAGGGCTGGTGGTTTTCAAAATGTGGCTCTGGCCTTAGCGCGGCGCGCATTCGTCTGAAAAGTTGCAAGAGCTTCACTGGTTGAGGGCGGTTCCTTTTCAGCATGTGACTCTGGCCTTAGCGCGGCGCACATTCGTCTTAAACATGTGCAAGAGGTTCACGGAGTTCCATCATCAACGTGTCAGAAATAATGTTTTAAAAGGATTCAGGACTATGAGGGTGCAAAAATTATGTTGATTCGCTGTGTTGAAGTCCCAAGAAATGCGTCCTGGCATGATTCAGGATTGCCAGGACGCAGCAGTGAGGTTGATCCGTGGCGTTGGAATCCCGAGAACAATGTATGTTTTGGCATGCTTCAAGGTCTTCAAACGGATGTCTTGACAAGAGGCAGTTCCTTCAATGGACATGAGCCGTTGTAGGGGCCTGTGAGAGGGGAGCTTGGAGGGAGGGTTCATTCCAACGTCGTTGATGACTCTTGGCTTTGCACTGGTCTTCCTCCTCCTCCTCCTCCTCCTCCTCCCAGCCCTCCTCCTCCCCCTCCTCCCCCTCCTCCCTCCCCCATCCTCCCTCCCTCCTCCCTCTTCCTCCTTCCTCCTCCTCCTCCTCCTCCTCCTCCTCCCCTCTCCTCATCCACCTCCTCCTCCTCCTGTTCCTCCTCCTGCTCCTCCTCCTGCTCCATTCCTTCTCCTTATAAATAAATCCTCCCTGTCGCACCCAGAGGCCAGTTTCTAGGGCGGACACGGCGTTTCGCCGGAGACTTCCTCACCGCTTATGTTTCTGAAGCTAACAAAGTGAAAACAAATGTACATATGGAGGGCGGGTGGTTTTCAAAATGTGGCTTTCGCCCCAGCGCCGCGCACATTCGTTTTCAAAATTTACAAGAGCTTCACGGTTTGAGGGCGGGTGGTTTTCAAAATGTGGCTCTCGCCTGCGCGCCGCGTACATTCGTTATCAAAACTTGCAAGAGCTTCACAGATTGAGGGCGGGTGGTTTTCAAAATGTGGCTCTCGCCTCAGCACCGAGCACATTCGTTTTCAACATTTGCAAGAATTTGACAAATTGAGGGCGGTTCCTTTTCAACATATGGCTCTCGCCTCAGCACCGCGCACATTCGTCTTCAAACATTACAAGAGTTTACCGGATTCCCATGATCAGCGTACCGAAAATGTTGTTTTGGAAGGATTCTGGATTATGCGGGTGCAACAAGTATTTGGATTCGCGGTGTGGAAGTCCCCAAAAAGGCGCTCTGGCACGATTCCGTGTCGTCAAGACGCAGCAGTCAGATTGATACGTGGCGTTGACATCCCGACAACAATGTTTTGGCATTCTTTCAGATCTTCAAACGGTTGTCTTCCAACGAGGCAGTTCCCTCAATGGAAATTAACCGTCGTGGGGGCCTTGAAGAGGGAGCTTGGAGGGAGGGTTAATTCCAACATCGTTGATGACTCTTGGTTTTACACTGGTCCTCCTCCTCCTCCTCCTCCTCCTCCTCCTCCTCCTCCTCCCTCCCCGCTCCTCCCTCCCTCCTCACCCTCCTCCCTCCCCGCTCCTCCCTCCCTCCTCCCTCCTACCTCCTCCCTCCTACCTCCTCCTCCTCCTCCTACCTCCTCCCTCCTACCTCCTCCTCCTCCTCCTCCCCCTCCTCCTCCTCCTCCTCCTCCTCCTCCTCCTCCTCCTCCTCCTCCTCCTCCCCCTCCTCCTCCGTCCGCTCCCTCGCCCCTCCCCGCTCCTCCTCCGCCTCCCGGGGGCTGCGCGGCCGCCGCTCCCCGCCTGGATCGGGCCGAACAGAAAGAGGCCGAAGAATCCTGAGCCGCGGTGCGCCGCCCCGCGGGCGCCGCGCGCCGGGCCCGAGGGGGCGACCGGGGCGGCGTGCCAGTGGCGGAGCCAGAAGCGTTCAGCGCACGTGGAGCCAGCACGAGCACGAGCACGAGCACGAGCGCGAGCGGAGCACAAGCGGCGCAGGAGCAAGAGCGAGGATCGTCGAGCGGAGAACTCTGGAGGTCGGAAAGGGGTGCGGCATGGATAGAGGGCAGAACATCCACCCCGAAAATGACCACCCCGACACGCGAAGCCGTTTAGCAAACGCGCCCGAAGAAGGAATCAAACAAGGCAGGGCTGTTTAGTAAACGCCCAAAGCCATTTAGAAAACGCCAATTGTCCGGTCCGGGTGGTTTTTCCTCGCTTGAATAAAAAGGGTATGGTGCCAATCGTGGAAATGGCGACACCATCTGCGATAAAAAACATCGCCAGAGTCCCCTTTACCTGAGATTGGCACCAAACCCCTTTCTACCACACCCCTTTCCTGCCTCCAGAAGAACGAGCAGGTCATGGGCCCTGCGGGGCCGGGCCCGCTGCGCGCTGCAGCGTGCGGGACGGGCGGGCGGCACGGCACAGAGGCCCAGTGAAGCCTGCCTGTCGTTGCTGCCACGACCATGGCCGCGCGGCATCCTTCTCCTGATCGCGCTCCACCTCACAGCAGGCGGGGACTCGCCAGGAGAATCCGACTCTGCTGCCTCCCCTTCCCTCCCGCTTCCCTGCTGCTGCTCGTCCTCCTTCGCCTCCTCCTTCTGCTGCTCCTCCTGCTCCTCTCCCTCCTCCTCCTCCTCCTCCTCCTCCTCCTCCTCAGCCACATCCTCCTCCTCCTCCTCCTCCTCCTCCTCCTCCTCCTCCTCCTCCGCCTCCTCCTCCTCCTCCTTAGCCACGTCCTCCTCCTCATCACCACAGCGCGCATCACACCACCATCACTTAGCGGGCAAAGAGCGGTAAACCATCAACAGTTCCGCCGCCAAGGACCGCCTGCCCCCCCCCAGGGCGGCTGCAAAATTTAATATACCCCTACGGTGCCACGTCGGCGGGGTACAAACTTTCCGGCCGTCATGGGGCAGGCGACCCCGACGGCGGGACAAACATGTCTGCCTTCGTTCCCTAAATCATCGTCACCACGTTGCGCCCTGCGTGGGGGGACGGAAAGGGGAGGGCAAGGAAGGGAGGAGGGCGAATGGGGGGGGCAATCAGGAGCACGCGACAGGCGGCAGCGGGGGGATTGGAGGAGCAGCGACGACAGGGGCAATGGCCCTCCGTACTTGCGGCGGCAACTCATGCGAGTCTCCCATGCCATCTCGCTGGCTGTTGTGAACCGACGCTGATCGACGCTAAATCGGCGCTACCCGACACCACATCTGCGCTTCCACATCGATCAAGACACGCTAGCGCACGCCCATGCACTCTGAAGACGGAGTTGCGAGGACTCACAAGGCCCCTGCGAGTTGCTGCCGAAGACAGTGGCCCTCCCCTCCGTACCTCTTTCTCCACGCAACTCGTCAGCAGTTTTTTCGGCCCATGACTGTCCCGCACGGGGCGAAGCGACAGCCCGATGATCACAGGAAGCTGTGCAAGAGTGCTTTCGTCGTCCAGCCTGGCGGCCTTCACGCGATCGACGGGGAGGGCAAGAGCGCGTTTTGGGGGGGCGTAGCGGCCATCACCGGGCCGTGACGCTCGGCGATGCGATGCGACCACCGTTGCGGACGGCGTCCGGGCCTACGCAAGACCGGGTGGGCGAGGCCGTGGCCTCGGGAATCTGGCGTGTCTGGACAACATGCAATGCGAGACAAATGCGCGAAAACCCCTCGGCAGGCGCCAACAAGCCCCTGAAAACATTGCAATCTTCCCAATTCTGGATACCACGCGGGCGCAGAATCGCTGGGGCTCTCCCTGCCCCATTCCGCCGGTAACGCCAGCCAGCTGCGCCAGGAGGGTAAACTGAAATCGGCGCGGCTCCGATTGGGGGAGAACCTCCTGCTGCATGGGCGCAATACTCGGAATGCTTGGCATTGGTTAGCACTGCTTGACGTTGCGTGTCGTTGCTGGGCCAAAACCCAAGAGGGCGGGTGGTCGGGCGGATTCGGTGGCTGATTTTTCGGCCGCCTCGCCGGCGGCGCTGCGGGGCCATGGGGAAGGCCGATCCATGTCGGCCTCGGCCGGGGGCTCGCCGATCACGCGCTGCCTGAACAGGGCGACGGCCTATCCCCTCCGACGCGCCATTCACGGACTCGCCGTCGGCTTCGGCGATCTGGCCCAGGCGATGCTTGCCCGGAGCAGCTTGCTGGGCGAGCGCCGATCGGGGTCGCGGGGCGGCGCTGCTTCGTCGGCACGCTCGCTCCCGCGAGGCCTCCTCGCCGTTGCCGCACCCCTCGGCGCCTCGCCAGGCACGCGAGCGTTCGTTTGCAGGTGCCCCTGGAAGGCTCGGTTTCCTGCGGGATCTCTCACAGCT